GTGCGCGACTTTTGCTTTAACCACAAATATTATTTTTTTCTTTTTGGAAAAAAGACTAGATGGAGTGATGAAAATAAACTTATTCCTACTTAGAGTAGACTTACACATTTCAAAAAAACAATAATAACAGTCCGTCTTCACTTACAGATTGGTTAACATCGAATAAGTAATCTAGAAAATAAAATTTGTGTATCAATAAAAACGATGGTGAGATTTTATCATTTCTCAAAAACCAGTACTACTAGTTAGCATACTTCATTATGTTATCTTCTCGTTTATTTTGATTTTCGAATATAAATTATAAATGTCATGTTTTAGACTTCCGACTTAGATAGTAATAATAATGATACTTATACGCCATCATTATTATTTTCTTAACGAATACTGGCGCGATAACCGCAATCGATACTTGCAGACTGGATTATATGGCTTACTATCTCCCGAAATACCACAGGTTCATTCACTATTTATCCTTCTCTCGATCTTGAATCCTAGTATTCCTTTATAGATATCTTTCACTGTCTTTTTTTCAAAACATATTCCCAATATTCAATGGTTCTCATTATTTACGGTTCTACATTACTTTGATCTATTGTTTAATTCATCATGTTAATTTTATTTCATTGTATCAATGTGATATGGCAACTTGGTGAACTCATTCGTTTCTTTAGCTGAAATAAATATTCATCCAGTAAATGATACATGAATCATTGCCACAATGTTTACAAAGCTAGTCAACATCAATAGATGTCCCACAAATGATCGTGGGTCAGGACCAAGTATGTAAAGCAAAATCGCTTTTGAATTACTATCAATATTATGTTCTTTTTATATTTCGGTTGTAAACGTCTGAACCTTCTCGCTGTTGGTAGTAAGGACTGCAATTGATCAGTCTTTCAGCATGTGATTTTGATTCGATATTACCATGAAATCACAAGTGTTTGTAAGCAGAGTTGAATATTAGTTAACACGAATACAGTACGAGCGATATGTTCTGTTTGGAACTCCTTAGTTGAATGTACATTTACCTGTGTTGATATTTTCACTGAAACTCAAAGCCACTATCTTCCATTTCGAACACCAAACTCGTTACTTACTTCGTTACTAAATCCAGATAGTCATTGACTTGTACAAAAGTGTTGAAATTCATCTAATAGCTTAAACAAACTGTCAAAATTATAATTTTCTGACTATAGATCACCTTTTTCTTTTGCCTAATTTAAATCGTGATTTATTCATTTATTTTTTTATTATTTAAAGACGTCTATATCGCAACTAAGTGATCATTTTATCGCCATTACCATAATGATCACAATTAATTAAGTGTTTTAACAAGTGAATAAAATTGTTTTCTTTAGTATATACCTTATTTAATTATTTACGCCTGTTACCCCTCGCGGAGGAGCATGGGCCGCCCACCAGCATTCTCCGTCCAACTCTGTCCTAGGTAACCCTTTCCAGTTCTTTCCAGTTAACATTCATCCTTTTCATACCTGCTTCTATTTGTCGGCGTAATGTGTTCTTTGGCCTTCCTCTTTTCCGCTTCCCTTCCGGACTCCAAGTTAGGGATTACCCTGTAATGCACATTGGTGATTTCCTTAATGTATGTCCGATCCACTAACAACCTCTTCTCCTAATTTCCTCTTCATCTAGAAGCTGATTTGTCCTCTCCCATAAAACACTGTTGCTGATAGTATCCGGTCAGTGAATGTTGAGTATTTTGCGTAAACAACTGTTTATAAATACTTGTACCTTCTTGACGATGTATGTAATAGTTCTCCACCTAACATTATAGAAATAATTAATGTTTAAATTTCAGTCTGTCGCGTAAGCTAATCCAATTTGTATATCCCTAATATAAATTGACGTTCAATAAAAATCAAAAAATGGAAATAATAATAAATGCAGTAAAAAATAGTTAATTTTACTATGGATACTAATTTCACAATTTATTGGTTGTTTGGTTTTTTGGGTATATTGTCTAATGAGATGAAGTTCAGTTTAGTTCTACTTTCCTCTGTCAACCATTTGGCTGTCTTCTTGTAATATGTGCTACTTATATCGACATAAGTAGTATATGACGCTAATCAGGAATAGCATATCTGGCAGCAGAAGGTTGAGAAGATCGAAAGGAAAAGAACGGGAATAGAAAGCTATTGGTATGGAAATGAAAGAACAGTGAAGTGCGAAACGAATGATTGACATTTGCGAAGTAACATTCTAGTTTGAGACAATTGATTGATATTTTGCAAATTAAGTATTTACTGTATGATTCCCAGATTTTAATAAGAGATTCTGTAATTTTGTAGTCAAATACATTCGATTGTCATTACATGTGTTCTCGTTCACTTCTTTATCCGTTCGAATATATAACAACAAATATATAAATAATTCGCATTTATGCATAACACATCAAAATATCAAATTAAACTGCATGCATTTATGTGATAATGAGATATTGTTTTATATCTGCGAAGCTATTGCAATTTTGTTTTGTACTATTCTAGTATCGTATTGTGCTAATGTAGAAATAACAATTTGAACTGATATACATCTATATATACAACAGCTTTCACAACGGATATGACTGGCTGACTGATGAATGATTGTTGCATTCATCATAATAATGTGCTTTTTTTTAAAAAAATTTTATATTCTGTTCCTTCTTTACATCAATCATGTTTTGAACCATTGAAAGGATTCAATAATATGCATATAAGATTGTTTTTGTTAAAATGTTTTATGCATTAGTTACACAATGTTATTAGTTGTCTTTTTCTTTTGTTAAATATGCTTAATTGGAAAAACATGGTGCATTGTTTATTGTTTATTTAATAAATTATTTTTGTTGAGTTTCACTTTTATTTTTGTGTTCTGTGTTCTTTTTTTTGGATTTCACAATGAAATTGACAAACAAATTAACTTACCAATAAAAAAAAATAATGCCTTGCAATTTAATAATCATTCGTTTGGCTGTGTCACCTCTCTACCCATTACTAACGATGATGGTGATGTTGACACAAAATCACATCTGTATTCGTGTATACTTCTTATCGTCATCCTTCTACTCTACTGTTCAATGTCAATTGTCTTCTCTTCAATTTCGGTGTATTTCACTTGTCATTAATTATTTGTCGATTCATCACAATGCTTTAAACTCAAATAATGATTATTTTTTGACTCGTGTAGAAAGCCTAGGTTCTGCAAAAGGTAACCATATACTGTTGTCATTTCTCTACTGTGTATGTGTTATTAATATTAATGTTACAATACAACACTTCTGCACAATTAATGAAACAATGTTCTTTTCAGTAATTTTTTATTCTTGGTTTTGTCAGTTGACTATTTCGACTTGATTATTTTAGTTGTTCTTACCGATTGTTTATATAGTTTTATCAAACATATTTACTGTCGTTAGCTGTACATCTTTCCAAGAGAAAGTGCAATATCTGGGGAAATATGTTGAAATGCATACGCTAATATCTTGTTTAATGCTACTTCTGAATTCATTTCCTGGGCATTTCATAGTCTTATCCAACGTTTTTATAGTTCAGATGAATAAATACTAACTGTACTGTAAACAATATTACGTATATAAACATCCTTGATACAGATTATCCATTAGACTTTTTTTTCACTGACCATCTTGTAAATGACGTAATTATATAATCCGTTTATATGCCTTTCCGAACCGGCAATAATAGGATAGTAAATTCATCACTTATGTTTTCCTATCACAATAAATATTGATGGTTTTTTAAACACTTAGATCTTATTTTCTAAAATGTTAACATCACTAGATTTAATCCTGAGTTTTAATTTGCTCCTTATTTCGTAGGATAATAATAATAGTTATTATCATTACTATTATTATTATTTGTGGACAGGATTTGTCTTATGTCATTTACATTAATATGGTTGACTTGAAAGATAAATATTTAATTGATATAATTCTTGAATTTAAATACTTCAGTACTTAGCGCTCGTATTAGCTATCTGATAAACCGATATGAACAAAATGCATATCGATAAACCTGTAAGTTAAGTGGTAAATCATTGATATTTTTACGTTTGTTGTGTTTTTTTTTCCACATATTTGAAAGGGTGAGTCAATTAAACCTAGACCACCAGGGAAAACCTAGAAGCACTGCTTGACGGCCGTTTCGTTCAATTGTGGGACTCCTCAGCAGTGCGCATCCATGACCTCACCTCATGAGATTGGAACCCAGGACCTACCAGTCTCACGCCAGAGTACTTAACCGATAAACCACTGAGCCGGCATCCGATAGTGTTTATATCTAACTCCAGGTTTTCCTTTGTGGTCTAGCTTCAATTGACTCACCCTTTCAACTATGAAAATACTAAATCTCCACAAAACCCCTTTTTTCATATATGCTTACCAGACTACTAAATTACTAACTTTTCTTTATCAGTAATATCACAAATATTTTGTTTTGCTCATTTCCTTTTATCATCTGAGTATGGACAGTTTATGAATCATTTCGTCCATTCACTCGAAAATATTTCAATGTATTTGTTTTAATTTTATGGTTACACATGTAGGAGTTAGGTTTTGAATGCAGTAAAGAAAATTATCCCACTCTGTTTACGATCGATATTCAAAATTATTGATGTCCATTGGGTTTATGGACATTAGCTATCATTTTAGAGTATATATGTATATATTCAAATTTAGAATAGTATTCATTGAGGCGTGTTATTGAATTCGTTATTTCTACTTAGTATTTTTTAAACTCAAGATGGTCGTCTTAGTCTCATATCGAGTCTATAAATTGTGTTTTTTATTATCTTACTTCATGTATAGATCAATATTATTGTTTGTATTATAATATTAGTTAGCTTATAAATAATAAATAAAGTTTAAATCTAATTAAAATACATGGTTACTACTAAATTTTATAATTCTATTCTTCCAATAACCATTATTTATTCATTTCTTCCGCTGGATTTGTCTATTTTTTTTCTTTTATTAATAATAGCTGATCCACCTCGTAAAAGAATAGATAGTTTGAAATTAACATTAAATGGTTCATCACGTTTATCACTTGGAAATCTAAGTGAAGGTTCCCCACTATCTGGTCGTCGTGGTTTAGCTGTACAAAAATTGTAAGTTTAATTCTAAATTTATATTAGTATGTTTTTTGTTCTTTTTCCCATGAATACTCTAATTAGAATTTGTATTGAAGTCAATTTATAATGATAAATTTTTTTTGAACTAACTGAACTCTGATTATCTTTTTTCTGTTTAATGTTATACACTGTTACGTGAAATGTGATTTCTTTCATTAGTTTGAGTAAATCCGCTAAAACTTACGAAGTAAATATTGGCAGAAGTTTCTTAATTAGAAAGTGTTTGTGTATTTTCTTCCTTTTTTTCGCTTTAATTTACTTACTTACGCCTGTTACCGCCATTGACCAATAGGCTGTTGACCAGCATTCTTCAACCCACTCTGTCCTGGACCTGCCTTTCTAGTTCTATCCACTTATTGTTCATTCTTCTCATATCTGTTTCCATTTCTCGGTATAATGTGTTCTTTGGTCTCCGTCTTTTCCCTTGACCTTGAGGATTCCATGTAAGGGCTTGCCTTGTGATGCAGTTGGTTGATTTCCTCAATATGTGCTCTATCCACTTCCAGCGCTTCTTCATGATTTCTTCCTCTGCTGAATGTAATCTGGTTTGTTGTCTCTTACGGTAGGTTGTTGCTGATAATGTCTGACCAACGGATCCGAAGTACTTTGCGTATACAACCGTTAATAAACACCTGTATCTTCTGGATGATGACTTTCCTAGTTCTCCAAGTTTCTGCCCCATACAGTAGAACTGTCTTGACATTTGTATTGAAAATTGTGACTTTGGTGTTTGTTGACAGATAGCTGTTTTGAGTTCCAGATGTTCTTCAATTGTAGATATGCGGCATAGTGGCCTGACATTCTTTCTGATCTTTGATGCAATAAAATCGGATTCTATGTGCGCTTAATTTTAAATCAAATTTTTAGTTAAATTAACTAACCATAAGATATAACCATAGCTCGCTACTTTGAAGTTAGACATTCAAACGGGCTCAATAGTTTAAAGGTAGACAAAGATCCTGGATTCTCTTTCCCATGGTGATGTTGTTGATGCACACGGATTAGAAGTTCTATACTATGATGAAACACTTTTCCAGTGCTTACTAGTTTTCACTTTTAGTCTAGCTAAGATCAGTACGTAATTTAAAACTCTAAAATCTCCACACAACTCCATACTGATAATAAAACTTGTTAGCTGAGTAGTAATAGTAGTATTAATAATGACAGCAGTATATTCTCAGTTTTAGTCTCGTCCTGTTGTGGGACTCTTCAGCAGTGCACATCCACGATCCCGCCTCTCGAGATTCAAACCAAGAACCCACCAGTCTCGCGCGCAAGCCACTTAACCGATAGACCACTGAGCCGGTATCCAACGGTGTTAATGTCTAACTTCAACCAATCCGCGAAGTCGACTCATGATTTCAATTATATATAAAAAATTATAAATAGTCAATACTATGCAATTTTCCCATATTCAACTTGAACACATTATAATAGAAAAATGTTAACATAAAGATTATGGACAGATATTCCCATTTGTGTATATATAAATAAAACCCGATGATGGTGGCTTTGATGAAGTTGTTTATAAATAAATAGAAAGAAAGAAAGAAAGGAGGAAATCGATTTTTTGTGGTACAATGTTTATCAATTTATCGGTTGGTTTTTCTGATCCTATATAATCTGATATTTCTTTACCCTTCAACAAATAAATTTAACATAGTTGAAAGCGTGAGTCAATTGAAGCTAGACAACCATGGAAAACCTGGAAACACTGGACGGCCGTTTCGTCCTATTATGGGACTCCTCAATTGACTCACGCTTCCAACGATGATAAATACTAAATCTCCACAAAACCCCTTCTATAAATAAATTTAAGCTTTTACTTAATTTGTAATAAAAAAAATTTCACACTTTTTATGATCATTTTGTACCTGCCTATTTACACTTCCTTCTTTCTGTAAATGTTTATGTTTCATTTGTTTATTTATAAAATTTGTAGTTGCAGTTGTCTAGACTAATGCATCTTTTTTGTCTACTGTTATTCATATCTTCAATATCCTTGTTATCATGATAATTGTTACTGTGTACATGTGACACGTATGAATATGGATTTTCTTTAATCCAATGTGTGCCAGTATCATTAGTAATATAGTTTAAGTGTTTATGCCTAATTAAATGTTGATATTCATGATTGTAGTGGTAAAATTAGTTATGCTTCTTTCATTTATAGTTCACTGTATGTTAAATGTATGGGTACTTATTACATTCATAAATAGCCCTAATTAATATATCACAATCTAAATTGACCACTCCTTTTTCTTTTCCTTGTCCATAAAAAAAATTGTTTCATTCAGACTTTTTTTGGTGCTAATTTACTTCTCTATTCATAATTTCTTTTTCTCTTCAAACTTTGGCATGAATTATTTTCTTCTCTCTCTCTCCCACACACACATACAACCTTTGTTCCTTGAACTAATGTATGATCAATAAAAATACTCTGTATCGGCTTTCGTTAATGGTGGATTTATTTTCCACACTATACAATATTCAAATAAACACATAGACACAGCTGTATCTGCCCACATAATCACGTGTTTATACAGACTGACAGACTAGTTGGGCACACAAATAGTAATACAATTATAAGTTTTCTTCATTTTGGCTTAATAAAAACAGAAAATTAAGCATTTTGATGTAATTTTACCGAAAGGATTATAATTTTTTTGTTTTCCCTATAGATTGAATCGTTCACGTTAATACTAATTTGAGTGGTTGGCACCTATAAGGGGGTCTATTATCGTGTTAATAGTTTAGTAATATGGTTGTTATTTATTTTAATACCACTTCTTGGTTAGAAACAGTGAAATCAAAGATAAGTTGTCCAAAACTCAAAAGCTTCATATAACTTGCTTCTACCAAGATATGATATTCTCAGTAAAAGCATAAATCTGGTTAGGTATTATTGATGATTCACAAAATGTATATTGATGAATAAACTAATGTTAGTCTGATAAATTCTAGCATACCTACTAACAGTTCATTTGTTAGGAGGAATAATAGGAATTGAAGAGTGAGATTGATTATGGATACAGTGATCTTAAGTGTTGTTAGAGGTATGAGGGCGATTATCACTTCCCGGTTGCCCACACCGTGGAAGTGTTCTTCTGGAGGTACCTGAAAGGAAAATTGAGTTAGAGGTGGTCTCAGTGACCTGAGAGCATGTCCACAGTGCCCAAGGGACAACTACTTGAGGTCGGTCACTCACGACCTTTTTGAGATTGATTTTTGTGTTAGCTCCGTACTTGTTGAGACCTTACAGCCGAAGAGACAGATATCCGTGGGGTAAGTCGGGTGAGCATTTTTACTGTCGACCTTTTCTTACCCCATTCTTCCTTGTGGGAAGACAGCATCGCTGTTATGCTGGTTGCCTGAAGAAAGCACCTTACTGCCATCACACGTCTGTACAGTCAGCAGTACGACTTCACCTTCAGACCTTGGGTTTTCTGCTTTTAGTCTGTCTGTTATGGTAGGACGTTGAGGAACGATTGTTGCAGCCAGTATAGCTCGATTTGTTTATGACGATATGCAAGTCCGACCATCACGTCAAGGTAACTGCCACGGTCGGGAGTCATCCAAATCTTTAGAATTCAATATTCAAATGAGATACCTCCTGATGTTTTAATTTAAATTGACCAGATTTTATCAACACTAATACTTATAAATTAAACTCACTGTTCGTTGTACTGAATATTTAGAATGGGTATTAAGTAGTGGAGTCCAGAACATGAATTTCATCCTATTTGAGACCTAACATTTGAGAATATCGTCGTTGCTAAGCAAATAAAGCACGTGCTTTGGATTCCACTAATAATCACGGTAGAAATGTACAAACAAAAACTTGATCACTTTACCAACTTTACATGGATAAGTATATTAATAATAGTTGATCGGTTCTACTTCTGAATATGATATATATATATATAGTTGTTGTGATGTCTGATTTAGCTTCCTAGTCAGCTGTGGAGAAATTTTAATACCTCACTTCTCTTTGAAGTATGAGCCGATGATATTGTTCAAATGAACAGTGAAGGTTCCATAGTTAAACAATCACGTAAAACTAGTTTTAATAAACAAAGTCAATCACATGGTTGTTGAATGTATTCTTTAATATATACACATATCTATCTAATAATTTGTTGTGCTGCAATTATTTGTAGGCTATAAATATTATTATCATTATTATTACTAAAAATAAAGAAATGGGATCATTCTAGTTTGTGATTACCACAAATAAAACTAGAAAAAGAACAAAACCAGTGAGGAAAGAATGCTTTACCGGTTCAAAAACGAAGAAGTCAAATAACTTATTTTTGTTCATTTATGTATTGGTTGTTTGAATCTTCTCATTGACGTTTAGGACTGCAATTGATCAGTTTCTTATTGATATATGTACATCTTGTGTGGATTACCTCGATGATTCCTTATGTCACAAGCATTATAAGCAGAGATGGATGCTAGCAAATGATTCATTTCCTGAATGAATAGCGCGATAGCGTTTAAGGAGAACGGCACTAAGTTCAAGTTCCAGAGTGACCATCAACTCTGGTACGTTCAGCTGAAGAGTCCTAATTGAAAGGAAACGCACGTCCTAATATTGACCATTAGCCCTCTTTCATCTCTGTTTATAACCTATTTTCGGCGAAGTATTAATTCTTATTAACTTTATATTTAGTGAAGATTTTTGTTTTGTTTTGATTTCTATGTAAATTCTTCTGTTTCTTCCTCTCCTTCTTTTTTGTGCATATAAAAGACAATACAAATTTTTATTTGTATCTTTAACACAATGATAAATTGAAGTGATAATTTAAAGTGAACAAACAAAAATGCAGAGATGTTCATCTGTTACTGTGGAACAATACAACATAATTAAGTATATTCTATGAATTAAATAACGAATGAATGCATAAATTATTTCTTAGAATTAATTATTCATGTTATTGATTTAATAATAATAATAATAATGTTATTATTATTATTATTATTATTATTATTATTATTATTATTATTAGGGATTTACAAATTGTTTATAATAATAATAATTTTGGATAATTTATTGAGGAATGAACAAAATGGTTTAGTGATAAAATCAATTTATAGATGTCAGATCATTAAAGAATGAAATGATCTTGATCTTTGAAATTTTTAAAGATCAACATAGTTAAAGCAGAAAATTATTATCGAGAACTGCAAAGCTATTTAGATTTTTATTTGTTTTATTGTATGTGATAAGATTCGAAATTTTTTGTTAATAATTTTTCTTTTCAACAGATTGACAAGAACCCCCTGTGTGTATTCAAAAACAGTTTGTTTTCACCTTAAAACTACCCTGGTAATATTAGCTTATTAGCCAGAGTGACTAGGTGTCAACTTTTTTTTAACATTTATTATTATTATTATTATTATTATTATTATTATTATTGTCTACTCTTACCCCTCATTTCCAGTCTAGTTGACCTTTTATTTTTATATATAAATGTTCATAACAAGTATACTATATGTGATTAGATTGTTCGAAATGTATTGCGCTAATATATCATCACATAGTTCTGATAATCTTCGTCTTCTTATTACATTATCGAAATTTATCAAAGGGACTAATTGCTTTAGATTGACAAGAATTACCATACTGGGTGTTGAAATCAAGATAAACAATAGTATACAAGTTGTTATTTCATTTTATTTTCAGTGTTTAATATTCTCTTAGTGAACAGTTGAATAATACTCTTTGAGAACCATGTATATCAGTTGTTCAATTAACATTGTGTTATATTAAGATGTTGAAACACAATTTGTGCTTAGTTAGATAATGACATTATTAATCTAATATTTCCATCAAAGTTAACGATAAAATAAACTAAATGTGTTTCATCTTTATATTTCCATATAACTGAAATGTCATCTACTAATTAACATGAAGAATCTTAAGTTATGTATCAAAATACAAAGAATTTGTTCAATATACACTTTCTCTTGTTACATTCTAATATTCAACTTACAAAAATAAATTTATTTGAATTACTACTAATATCGTGTTTGATCCTTCGCTGAACATCTATACTTTAATCCATTATTATGATACTAACCTTTTAATTAATTGTTGAATGTTACTTCATGAGGTCAGTTAAGTTACTTCACACACTTTAAACAAATTCTCATTTTAATGGTTGAATTCATGAGTCGATTAAAGCTAGACCTCCATGGGAAACCTGGAGGCACCGGACGGCCGTTCCGTCCTAGTATGGGACTCCTCAGTAATGTGCATCCATGGTCCCTCACCAAACGGACTGGAACCCAGGACCTTCGATTTCCCGCGCGAACGCTTAACCTATAGACCACTGAATCGGTGTTCAATGATGTTATTGTCTAACTTCAACCAATCCACGAAATTTCGCCACCATCCACCATCATCTTCAGTGAGTCACTGTCTCACAACAGACGTGGTTGAGCTCCACTGGTCACGGCTTCACGACCTTATATAATGAACTAGTTTGTTGATCCCCTGGAAAATATTCTGTATCAAACTAAATTTGATGAAATAGATCGTCTAGTTGTTTACTATCATTCTCTATTAATGACTTCCTCCATATACATTTATTTCAAGTTTTTCTGTAAATTCATTCTTTGCTCTCTTTAAAAGTTTTTTAATTATTATTTAATTAGTCATTTATAATAGTTAATTAAATTTGTTGTTTCAATTGTTCATTCATCTAGACGAAAAAAATCATTCTCTAGTGGATTAGATAGTCAATCTAGTACGCCTGCTGTTAGCCCATTAGGTTCACCACTTTCCCTTCAACGTGTTCATTACAGACCAGTAGGATGTGAAAACTTAGAAAATTCACATTCTGTACAAGTATCCATATCAGTCCCACCATCAGCTAGATCACACACTACATCTACAGTATCTTCTACAAATACATCTGAATCACGATCTAACACAGTAACAATTACATCATCTGATAACTGTAGTTTAACCAGTAATATTTCAACAAATCATGTATCAACAAGTACCACTAATTTATCATCAAATCTTCCAATTCATGGAATTACTTCTAACTCTTCGATCGGTGGTACCCAACAATCCCATATACCGCAATTACAACAACATCCAAATCTTAATATTTACTATTTTGGAAGCATTCCACATATTGGTCATAGACCACAACATTTTCTTCACCCATCAATGGCTCCTATTCCTGTTGCAACAACTTTAGCTCCACCACCCCATTTTGTACCACCACCATTCCATCATCTACTTCCTCATCTTCATCCACATTCATTTACACCTGGACCCTATTTTATGCCACCGTTCGCAAGTGGTAATAATAATAGTTCCATGCTACCGGCTCCATCTGGCCCTGGTGTGACTATACCTTCTTTATCCACAACAACACCAACGACAAATAATTATAATAACAGTATTGGATTGTTACCGGTGCTCACTGAAGTTTCATCAGTTTCCGATCAAACCAATCATCCATCATCAGTAAATCCTAACATTGTTTCATCAACATCATCATCATGTTTAATTCCTTCATGTTCTACATCTTCGATTGTAACTACAGATTCTAATTCAATTCTAACCAATTCCACCACATCTATACAATCGAATAAAATAATGAATACAGGAATAACCACTAATACAACGACGACAACAATTACAGTAAATACGACGATGACAACAGCGAATCATAATCAAAATAATGTCGGTCAAAATACTGAAAGCCTATTGATGACAGCTGATAAACAATCAATAGAAAATCACTTAAATAAAGTAAGTTAACTTATTGTATTTTTTCTTATAAACATTACTTTGTTTGATTAATATTTAACGTTTTTTTAAATCATAATAACAATAATAGTGGTAAGCACCATGAAAACTTACTTAATACGCCTGTTAACCTTCATTGAGGAGTATAAACCGCTCATCAGCATTCTCTATGGAGGTCTGTCCTTGACAATACTTTCCAGTTGCTATTTATTCTTCTGATGTCTGCTTTCAGTTCACAAAGCAATGTGTTCTTTGGTCTTCCTCTTATCCGTTCCCCCTCAGGATTCAAAGTTAGCTAATGCCTCGTAATGATAAGCACAGGATAAGTATAAATAGTACTACATTATTTCTTTCAATAGAGCATTAAACTGGTAGACAACGCTAAAATTTACAGCTCAAGCGGATGCTTTTCCAGATATTGAATACTTTAAGGTATGTCGTTTCATTGTGGAACTTCCATTGTTGTTCTGAACAACATTATCAATACTTGATATATGTAGATTTGAGCTTCCTAATTATTCTATAAGCTTCAAATTAGTTGGTTGTGTTAGATTTCAAAATGACTCCTGTTTACGTACACATAGGCGAACGAGAATTATCCATGTAATGACACGGACAATTATGGACACGAAATGTATTGGGAAAACGTCGAAATTCTGGATTGAGGGAATTCTAAGAATAATTATTAATTTCCAGGTCCTTGACATTCAGATCAATTGACAGTCAACATACACACTGCAATAGTATATTGATCCATGTGAAAACCTCAGCCAACGAAATGGTCAGAGATTAATTTAAACAAAACAGTCAACTTGAATATACAGACAAATGAAAATAATGAAAACGACAAAAAAACTGGACAGAAAACAACGCTACGACAGCAAAATGATTTAATGCTTGTGACATCATTAAGAAGCTCACTTCTACGTGAAATAGGGTATAAGGTTGTTCCTCAACGACACAATGAAAGTTCCACAATGAAATCATCTATCTTAGAAGAGTCAATAACACCACAAGCTTATTTATATACACGACAGATATTAGTAAAATTTGTATTTCATCATTATAAAGCAAAGTTTTAGTATAATGTTTCAGTCTATTTAGATCGATCTAATTTAATTTGAGTGATGATTTATACACTCATTAGTCAATAAGTGTTCACTATTTACTATTTGTTTATACGACACCCCGTATAATAAAATGTTCAATGGTCGATTTTATTTCGATAAAACAAGACTTATGGTTACCTTCATAAATCTTCATAAAAAAGTGTACATGTTTATCTTACTTGAACATTTCTGTATTAAAAGATGAATTATGTTTAGGCCTATAAATTATTTTAGTATTCTGCATAAACTGATGGGTAATTAGTGTAGGTGCTTATTTAACAATTTATACTTCATAAATTGTAAACTTACTGCCACCAGTCTCTTTCTCAAAGTTTCATGACTAATAACCAGTGAATACTGTAACAGCCTCATCTTCATTTCATTGTAAATCACGAGTCAGATATGTTTCAGTGAGGATAAATAGACATCATTACAATCCCATTCCTTCTTTTTGTATCATATTCTCTATGTTCAATTTCTCTTACTACCAATAATAATACAATGATTTTGACTCCACTATTTGTCTTACCAATTCTATTTTAATGGATTGATGTTCCTTGGTAAATTTGACAAATACAGATTTGTAGCACATCATCATCCTTGTATTATAAAACCTGTACTAGATATATCTATTGAGTACAACAAGAATGTTATCACTTTTCTGTAGATTGAACTAACTTTTCATTTCTAAAGATTAGTAAAATTATTACGATAACTGCTCATTATCGCTACTTCTATTATTATTATTATTTCAAATAGAGTACAAACCAATATGTTTTAATCTATTCAGTTTACTTCAACACCGTCAACCCATCTATAGACCGAAAGAAAGAAATAGATTTACGCATAAATGCACAAATGTTATGTCTTTCCATTTTATTTATTTATTTCTACCTCTTTATATATGTGTACCTAGTTGAAAAATATACATCCGCGTGTAGAGATCAATTATTTGTAGAAATATAGTTATTTAGTTGGCTGGCTAAACTGTTGATTATCGTATCGATTTCTTGTATCTTATTCAGATCATTAACTAGACAGCCATATATATATATATATATATATATATATATATATATATATGCCTTACTACTATGTCCAGTTCTTTGTTTATCTGCTTTTCTTCTTCTTCTTCATATCTTCATATTACTGATTCATATATGAAAACCTAACTGCAACAATGATGTTAAAAAGTGTAAACTAATCATTTCTAATCTAGAAGAATCATAGATTTTCTTTATTTGTTTTGATCTATCGGCTAACGACTTCATTCTATTCAGCAATTATATAACTGAAAAAATATGCGTGCATGTACACAACCGCACAATTGGTGTTTTATTCGGTGTGCGTGTATATATCTACGTAAAACTAGTGAATAATAAGAAAGAAAGCGATCAAGATAGAGAAATAAAAAAACAGAAAATGTGACAAAAATTATTTTGTTCAATTAAAAGTTTGTTTGTTTGTTTGTTTGTTTGTTTGTTTGTATGTGTTCATTTGTCAGTTTTACAATTTTTTGGGATTTTTTTTCTCACTATCCATACTTTTTGGAGAAGCTTTTTTTACTTTGAAATTCGTAAGAGTTCAGTTAATTGAATTAATTTTTTTTCTTTTAATTAGGGAAAATAATTCATATATCTCTCTCGTTCCTCTAAAACCCCACATAGAAAGCCTTCCAGGCACATAAACATATTCACTTACCTATTTTTAAAAGTTTAGTACACTTTTTTGATACAAACAAGTCCAAAATATGATAGCATGATACTTCACATGGTTTTTCATCAAAACTTCACTATCAATGAAATATAATGAAACCAATGTTTCTTCTTAAGCGCACAAGATAGAATTGTATCTTGGCACATCTGGTTGACAGTGGTCATATAGCAGATAAAACTTAATCATTACGAAGGATCTATCATGTACCTTTATAATCTCTTAATGGGATTCGATCCCGTCTCATATGTATAGTAGAAGCTATAGGTATTCAAAACTCAAACATCGCTTCATGTATTCAGAAGAAATTGGTGACACCCATGTCTATTCCTTAGCCGAATAAATATTTAATAACCGATTTTATTGTTTTTCTTCACATCTCGTATTAGTCTTTCATTTTCCGCCTGTTTTCGTTTATATTCACTATTGTCTAATCATCTGCACACTTTCTACTAATTTTAATAAAGTGTTGTGATTTTTATTTTAAAGTCTATGTATTTAAGTTAAACCTACTTTCTATTTTGAACTACTGACTAGAACTTCGATTATTTTATTATTCTCAACACTACTACTAGCGTAGTGGATACTACTCACAAGATTTATAAGAACTCTCGTCTATATTAGAACGAATAGTTTCACAGTATTTGAGCGCCGAGTTGAAGTAAGACATTAAATAGGAATAATATGTTTGTAAAATCTCAGCGAATGAATTCATTCGCTGAGATTTTACAAACATATTATTCCTATTTAATGTACTCACAAGATTGCTTGTGTGTAGTGTGTGTGGCGTAACATGACGTCCAATTCGCCATAATAGTCAGACGGACTGAAGAGATTCAGTACGTTGAAAGCATGGCGTTAGTGAAACACGTGGAGGCCAGGCGATAATACAGTTTGGATGGCAGAACATATCGAGAAGTGCAGGTGAAAGATTGAAGGCTATATATAATATATTATATGTGTACTTTCTAACTTCTTACAATAAATGCATTCCTCCTACCTATTGTTGTGTTTTACACTAATACACCTGCCTACTTAATATCAGTTTGTACTTTTTACCTATTATATGTAGTTATACAATCTATTTAATTTCGATCATTAACTTTTAAATTGCCTTAACTGTTTTAAATATTTCCATATTCATATCAGACTAAATTCTGATATGAATTTGATTGAAAACAATATTGTTTGTTTATATGTGTGTTATTCTAATTTTCATAATGGGAATCTTTAATATTTTAAAATAAATGACAATAACTGTTACTAGGACGATAATGTTTATTGTATTAAATCATCTCAACATAAATTCTTTTGATGATTTAAGTGTGATACCTTTCACCATACCTTTGACAATAATTTGACAATACATCATTCATTACTTATAGAAACGTATAGAAAATCTTTTCGGAAGGTAATCATTCCATATTTCTTTCATTTTCTAATCAATAAACAACCTATTAAGTGACTTTATCTCTGTTCTCCCTGAACAGTGTTAATCAGACACCGATTCATTAAAAATATACAGAGTCTAATACAGGTAGAAAATTAATTGAAATGAATTTATATAATTATTAGTTATGAATGGAATTAAATCAATAAATAACTTGTAGACAAAGTCACCTAAGAATGTAATGTGTACTTTCAGATGTAACACATCGCTCATTGACTGTGTATATCATTTAAGCATTTAGTATTGAAATGAGTACAGCCTTGAGGATAGTATATCACTTAGATTCATATAACTATCACATAATGCAGTGAAATAATTTGCATTATTTATTTTCAGATTTAATACGAATATTAAAGTATTCAAACGAAATCCTAAATATTACACTCACTTTTTCATTTACATAATCTCTCCTTAATTTTTGATATGTTGAAATAAAGTAAATAATACCCTTCATTAATTTAGTTATTTACTGGTTATGTTTCTTAATGTATGTTGCAGATTTTGTCTATTGACTTAAAATAATTCCTTTGATTAAATAGAAAACAGTAACTAGAAATCTCTTTAGCTTAATACCTAGTATCCTGAAGATGACGGCCTCATTACTCAATAACCTTGCAGATAATATTGTAAAATGTTAAATTACGATTGTGTAGTTTGGACTTTTAACAAAAAAAAAGTAACTTAATGGAGTTCAGATTCATTCAGCCGATCAGTCTCAGGCAGGATAAACCATACGAACAAATATCACGAATCAAATATTTCCGATTTTTTGTTTTAATCTTCATCGCAATACTCAGTAGTTGCTTATTTATACGTTTGTCTGAAACCACAATACACACAGATTTCAATTGTAGTACATTTCATTTAATCGCTTTCACTTTGTTCTGATGATGAAATATTTCACTATTATTATTATTATTATTATTATCATTGAATATTAATTTGATGTATTTTTCCCATTGATTAGCAGACACAGTCTATAAACGACGCTCAAAACGGTATAAATTCAGTGAAAACAATTCACAAAGAACATGAGAAAGATTTGAATTCCCCATTATTAGATCATATACACTCGTCTAATTCACCAAGTACAGCTCCTTCATCTCCAATAGGTGGAGGTGTTCAATCAATTCGAAAGAAATGTAACTCATTAGCTCATTCATCATCTCCTCCTCTAAAATCCCAATCGAGACAGACTGTAATGCATCAAAATTCTAAAGATGTACAATCACGACAATCTCCAGCTCAGTCACCTATATCTGGTCAGAAATCAGGCTCAACGTCTTCACCTAATAATAATCTCAATGTTAATAATATATCTCGTGAAAAAACACATACTACTAATGGGACAGCAAATCTACAACCCGATATAAACGGACAAACTATTAAATATTCGACTCTAGAAAATCCACGTTTAAAATCTGAGATTAGGAAACCCCGTTTAGACGGTTTGAAAACTGTGGATAATATAACTTGTGGAAGTCCTGCATTAACATCATCATCATCAGCTTCTACTACAAATAGTCCAATATTATCTCATACAATATTATCTAATGCTCCACCAACAAGTCCTACATCAGGAACAACTCATCAACCATGGCGTGTAAAATTAAATAATTTAAAAATGTCCTTTTTAGGATCACCACGATTTCATCGGAAAAAATCATCCCTTATTCATACGACTGATCAATTGAGTGAAACACCTCCGAGTAGTCCAAATTCTTTTACACAAAGTCAGTGGAGAAACTCTGGACGATCATCTGGTTTAGAACCATCCCCTTTGTAAGTTCATAACATATCTAACACCTAAGTTATATGATATTTTGTCATTTATTAATCTTAACTATATCAAAAGATTGAGCGAACGAAGCATATGTAAATTGATTGGATAGCATGAAAAACTGATTGTTCAACAAATCGATTTTAACACGATGAAAAGATTTTTCTTAACGTTTTTTAAAAGAAATTTATTAAATTTCAGAACAGAAAATGAAGATCTCCTAGTGATTAGTATTAAGATTTTTTATTCAAATTACTGGAATCATAGTACACAATATAGTGAACCAAACAACATTTTACACAATTTCCCATGAATAATACATATAATGTTGCAAGTGATCGGAAAGAAGTAACCTCAATAGGAGAATTTTTTTGTTCTACCGCTATCTTAGATGATTAATTAACTCAAATGGATTTTGTGGAGATTTTTAGTAATTTAGTATAGTTAAGATCATGAGTCAATTGAAGCTAGACCACCATGGAAAACCTGAAAGCACTGGATGGCCGTTTCGTACTATTATGGGACTCCTCAGCAGTGCGCATCCACGATCCCACCTCGAGAGATTCGAACCCAGGACCTAGCAGGCGGGATCGTGGATGCACACCACTGAGTAGTCCCACAATAAGACGAAACGGCTGTCGAGCAGTGCTTCCAGGTTTTCCATGGCGGTCTAGCCTCAATTGACTCATGATCTTAACTATATAAGATTAATTAACTGTTTAATAAACAACGTTTTCACATTTTATGAAGAAAATTGAAATGAAAATTTAGTTAAACAATGATTATTGTATATTACTTAAATAATAATTATATAATCATGTTGTACAGAGCTATCTAAAATGTAAGTACAAAATATACATTGAAAACGGTTGACTTTATATATATCAGTCAGCTACAACGTAGGACCAGGCACACATATGCATCGGTCCAAGTTGCCGTATCTCGTTAGTACAACACAATGATATATAATTCAATTTTATTGTGAAATTAATAGACATTGTCATTTAGCTAATCTGAACGACTTAAAACCCTTTAATTCTTACTGTATTTTAAAAAAACTGGTTTCATATTTTGTTTTATTTTATGTGTGCTTATGTTGGTTAAAAAAACGGCACACATATTTATTAGGTAAAACTAGGAAACGTCTTGTATTCTTCTAAACCTATAATATTACAAGTCAACTAATCAGAAATTGTTTGCATAAACATTTAGTGTAATCAACAGTGTAATCGCTAAGCGAAAAAAATCATCAACTTGGATGAATCAATTTGCTGGTTGTTTTATCGTTTACATAATCTCAATGAGTACTCAAATATTACGCTCTTCGTTGATTTAAGAGTTGAAACTTCGTTTGTGTAGGCCAATTTTTTTGTTTTTCTTAGCTAATAGCTTTTTTTCTCTGAGTGTTTGTGACTATAAGGATGACCACCAATTTCGCGTATTTAAGATAGCGCATTATCTAGTACTTTTTCAGCATTTTACCGTCCATTTAGTGTGTCATTGCTGTATATAATGGAAGAGTTTTCCTTGAGGAGTTCAGTTTTGACTATCTAATGCTGCTACATATGCCTTCAGTGAATACGCTACTGTATCGCATCTCAACTTGCCGAGTGAAAAAAAATCTCGATAAAATGAAAGTTAAAACTTCAAATGAAATCATTAATGAAAATTATACTCATAAAAAGCATTCACTTACCGTGAGAACAAAAAAAACTACTAAATATTCGATTTATGTTGATCATTGATGGATACGCTACAAAATTCACGAACACATATCCTATCCCATTTTTCAACTTCTCTATTCAATTGAACAGATTTCAATCATAGTACGAATGCAGCAAAACTATCATGTAAATTCATCTGATCAGAAAAAGGTACATTAAAAACGATGGGTTTTTTTTTTAAACTGAGCTATAATATAGTAAAATTCACTATTTCAATTGACATATCAACTAATTCTAGTTAACACTACACATTAGTCATTTTAATATTAACAATTTTTTAATTTCATCTTACTAATAATAATAATAATAATCTCATTTACTGTAGTTTTAAAAGATTTATTTGCGTTACATTTATCTATCACCTTTAGAGTATTAAATTATATCTAGAACTATAGAGTTAAATGAGAATAATATGCTTTGCTCCAATTCATATTTCCTATTAACCATGGATTATGTATGTAATTTGAAGAAGAATAATTAGCACCGTTAATATAGAATTCAAAGTGTAATATGTGTTCATTTTTCTTTGGTATTTACTTTCTTTTTTTCAATCATAGATTAACTCATAAATCATGGTTCAACGGTTTCTTAACAGCTGCCTCTGGTCATGTAATCATTAAAGGCAGTCAACATGCAGTGAATGCAGCCGCAGCAGCACAAGATTCCGCAGCACTAGCAATTTCTATTCAATCTAAATGTAAAGAAGAATGTAGTCAAAGTAAAGATGAACATGAACAAAATGAATTTTCTCTCGAACAGGATGGAAATTCAGCGAGATTATCGGATTATGTCACATCCAGTAATGAATTAGTAGAGAATTGGAAAAATTTCAATATAGTATATGAAGAAAATAACGCTACCACTACTAGCAATAATATCAACACAGATTCACAGTCTTCAACTTCTCAACCTTCATCACCATCGTATTCATGTGTTTCAGATGGTGTATCAAAAACTCACCAATACCACCATCATCCTCATAATCATCACCTTCATTATCATCAGACACACCAACAATCGCATCATCTTAGCGCTACGACAGATATTCAGTTCAATGCAAATCAGTTACATCCTTCTTCAGACCCGTTCTCAAATAATAAAGTAATTGAAAGACGTGGACCTAAACCATTTATATCAACAAATTCTGTCACTAGTACTACCACCGCAACGACATTAAACAATAGCAGTACCCCAGGAGGTGTAAATGCTCCACCAGAGGAAACAAATCATGTTGTTATGGTTAAGGGCCGTGCTTTAAACAGACTTAAAGCAGAACTTGTACAAGTAAGAAATATTGCTTAATTTTTTAAATGTATCATCATATATTTTAATGACAAATGTTGTAGTTTTCCCTCTATTTACGATAAATTCCTTGAAACAAAAATAATTTAGTATATGCCTATATTGCCCCGCTTCTCCGATCCTATTTTCTCTCTCCCTCTCTCTTTCTTAGTATATACATGCATTGATAATCATGAAACTATTGTCATGTGACATTTCTTTCTGTAAAACTATTAAATTAGAGAAGCTAATAAATTGACTCATGAAATGAACGGAAAAAAACTAATGAGTTGCGACAAATTACTCGTTATCAGACTTGATGACATAGGAAATTTAGTTGTATTCAACGTATACATAAGTCTTTACAAAATAAGTAGTTAATTTTAAGTTATATGTTGTTGTTAGATATATTTTTTCAACTTGGTAATAATATTAATGTGTTTAACTTTAGCTTTTTACTGTTGACTTTCTCTTCAACTAGATTTGTGTAAACTAATAAATACAAAAGTTATTTACCTACCTGATAAATCTGTTGAAGATTATCCTAAAAGTATTTCATTTTAATGTAAGATATCCTGGATTATTCACCAGCTTCTATCAAATAAATAATAGTTAGTGAATATTTTTTTATTCGTGAGACTTCACGTCTTTACTGCTGTCACTGATAGTATCTATGTTATCAGTGATTTTACTGATTACCAATTGTACTATCATTAAAAAGTACCATTTATTATACTGAGCTCATCACAGTTATGTTTTGTATTTATTTCATTGCGTATATTTCTTAATTTTAAGTTTAGAAAAATTAAACCCTGGAATAATTTATGTGTTTTTCTACACTTATGTTACAATTAAATCACGAAACGTGTTCTGATCTGAACTGTATTAGCTATGAAGAGTATATTTTGTATTGATGAGTATGTTTCATACTGCCTACACTTTGTTCCTGACTTGTGACAAAATCCAGACCAACACAAAAGTAGTAGTAATAATATTACTAGTAGTATTCACTTACGAATATCCCCTACTTTTAAAGACTACTTTCCTTAGCCATAAGGTAAAATAGAGTAAACTACTGCTCAGTATAATAGCCATTTAATTGTCGGATGGGCATTTATTTTACTTCACGGGTGGAATAAGTTGGTACAACCTAAGCGAGCTTTCTGAATACTTTTTGAGATTTTATCAGACATCAATGTAAAAGGGTTGATGAAACTTCCAAGATAAATGGAGTATTCACATGCCCTCAACTACTTTATTCCCTTTTGTTGTTCTAGACATTGACATAGATAAGTCATGATGGATTTTTTTAAGGTATCAAAACGTTGATTTTTAATTATCCTTAGAAAATTCCAAATCATTTGATTCGTTTAAGTCTATTATAATGTAATTTTGCCCCATTGAATTTATCGTTTATATTAGAATAATGATAATAATACTAGCTAAGAACTTAAAACTTATTTCTTCGAGTTATTATAGATTATGCTATTCTAACTAACAACAAATAACTAATTTTACTGCTTCTACTTCATTATGATTGGATTTATATTTTATAAAGGTTTTTCTAGCTACACCTGGTGTTGTTCATACAGTAATTTCACCAACAAGTTTTCGAGCTGAATATCGTCGTGCAGGCAGTGGATCAAGTTTACTTGCTCGACCTGTCAAACTTCAAGTGGATATGGTACGTGCAACGGGTGGAATTAGTACAGGTTCTGGACACCAGAATAATATAAATTCCATTTCATCTGAAAGAGAAGTGTATGCAGTCAATTTTCAACTATTATCAGGTAAAAAAAATAGGAATATTTTTTATTTCTGTCTAATACGTTAGGGTAAAATGTTTTTTTGAAGTGCCACTGGAAACGTAACTAATTTCAACAAGTTCATACAAATTATTTAAGGATTAATGTTGCCCAACACATTATCAACATGCATATGGATAATAGACATATGAGCATATCTATTTCTAGGTTTTTCATTATTATTCGAAGAATATCAAAACACCAATAGAAGTTTTTAAATATAGGGTTAATTTTACTGATTAGATTGATTAATGTTTGTATTAACTTTGTATCTTGTCATCTAAGTACGCGTTAGTATGGAAAGTGATGGGATTACTAATTAAGTAATTTTGAAGCGAAACACATTGTTCTGGGTAGTAATGATAAAATGGTTAATGAGATTGTGAACCTTTATTGACTGAGGTGGTGGTTGTATTATGTATTCTCAACCATCACCTAGTTCGATGTTTAACGGTTTGGAAGAGCTTTGAGACAGTTGAACCAATAGATGGAGTTGGTCGATATAGTCATTGCTTACTAGACTAAGCCGTATAGGTAGGTTTAGACCACCTAGTTGAAGGCCACATGATTATCTTAACCAATTGTTGGAGATGTTTTGTAACATGACTCAGAATCGTTCACAATGAAGCAAGTGCACTAACTCTTTGTCTTATTTTAGATTTTGAATTCTAAAATGATTCTATACTTTTTATTTTGATAGTTTATTCAATTTTATCGAATCATACCGTTTATGTCTGATCTTTTCAACCACCACTGATATCGTTACTACTTCTACAACTCTGTTATTTGTTTTCATTCTTTCATTTCACTCTTCTGTTCTGGAGTGGCAACTTGAACCGACGCACACATGTGTCAGGTTCTACATTTCTTATGAATTACTGAGCAAGTAGCAAAGAGCGTTTGAAGAGGTTGTTAGATTCGAGTATAGTTTATATCAGTGACTGACTTTAGCTGGACAATCACTGAATACTAAAAAGTATACTCCCTGACTATTTCAACGAATGATGGTAAACGAAATATCTTCAGTCTTGGACTTGATCACATGCAGATTTATAGGCGTCTCATACATGAACGAAACAAAATATCTAACGCTCTCCGATAACCAATGGTTGTCTAGGTAAAGTTAGCCTTTGCGAAAAATGAATATTAATTATTCCCCTCGTCAAAATAAGGACTATTCAGTTGACACATTGTATATGCGAAACTAATTGTAGAAGAAAACAACTCGCATTGGTTAAGAATTAAAGACGTCAAGCAAAGTCACTCTGTTCTAGTTGATATTTCATTTAGTGAATAGATGTTTTTATATTGGAAGACAACAGTGACCAAAATAGCGTACGATATTTATTTCGCCAACTATCGAGTATCTGTATGTTTACCGAGCTATCGATATATATATATATATATATATATATATATATATATAATTTCATATGAGCCTAACTACTGTCTTTCTTACGCTCCTTCTACTATGGATAATTTATAGGTCCAACGCGTCGGTTCAAACGTTTATGTGATCAACTACAAACGGCTTTGCTGTCTGGTACTGCGCATCCGAATTTTGTGGCTCATAGTACATTGAATTCTAATGTTCTAGTTGGAGGAACACCATCGATAACTAGTGTTCCACCAACAACTAATGTTGGTACACCTATTTTAAATACATTGACTCCAAACTCTACCAAAGCAACAAGCCTTGTATTGGATGGACAAACTCCAGAACAAAATAATTCTGATTCACTTTTCAACCAAAGTCATGTTCACCAATCTATACAGTCCCGGTTCAGTGATGAAGATGCACTATTTTCTTCAAAGTTAACCAATCCTGATGAAACTACTAGCCAAAAGCATACAAAAGTACGAAATAACTGTAATTATCAGTTATCGACAAGATACTATTTTTAGTAGTCCTCGGAATTTTGAGTTTGATTTCCACTCTTTTGGTCACGGGTCTCCAAATGCCCATTTTTTCAACTTTTTAGAGACCTCTGTTTACTAGCTTCATAGTTTTGTTAAATTGTTATCAAACTATCAGTTTACTTTTAACTGCTCTAGGTCAATATAATAAAATAAATTGATACATATGGCTTTAAAACAGTCAGTATATTCTTATAGTCTCCTTACACAAATAATCTCTTTTGCCGAAGGCTATACTTTACATGACAATTATTGACAAGACTATAATTTATAGACGAACCAAATTAGATCTAAGATAACAGGTCTTGGATTTATTTACTGATCTAACCTTGGTGTAGCAATGCTTCATTTGCACTGACTAATAGATAACTTTAACCCGCTTACGTTTTTTTTGTTCGCACCGTTCATGTTCCACATCAGTTTGTTGTAGGCGTTCTGAGAAACGTTCATAGACGCTTGCTAAAAACCATACAAAATCAAAGTTATCAGAAGTTCATTGGAGAAGTCATTTTTGTGAACTTTAATCATTCTAATATGCTGGGTTTTGGTTTCTTAGAGTACAAACAAAAAAAATTGATTATGTCATCTTTATTGATTAATTTTAGTAATCACAAATCCTATATTCAAAGCTAGATTTCAAATGATAGTTAAGTCATAACATTATGTAAAGTTCAAAATCAATATAGTGTTACTTGACTAAGTAGTCATACTGCATTATGCATTCCATAAATTAACTTAAGAATTAAGCAGTGAGTTAACCTTTAGTTTCATGTTTCTATACGTCTGTTAGAGAAACTGTCTCTTCCCTCAAGGTACACTGTACATTAAACGATTTGTAATTTATATATTTTACCTAATACACTATTTAACCCGGTGTCTAAAAATAATTGTTTGATTTCAGAATACTGTTTCTATATAAACTTTTTTATTCAGAACGTTCAGATAACTTTTTTCCACATTAATTATGCTTTTTTTACAGACACCTTTTCCTACCGCCTCTTCACAACCTCATGAAACAATAAATTCTACATCAGATTCCCTAATTTGTCAATGAGTCTTCTATCCACCCGCGTACTCCTCCTTCCAATATGCATACAATCCCAAAAAGCCTTTCATTTCCATTAATACTCCCCAAAAGTACATGATAAGAAGTGGAATTATAAATATTTTTCTCTTTGGATATCCAACAACCTTCATAATTCTTCATTTTTATGTTGCATTAAAACCAAACGTATACATATATGACCTTTTGACCTTTTTTTTTGAAATATAGCAACACTAAAATAATAAGACGAACATTGATGCTAGTTTGCATCATTAACTATTATTACTTTTTGCTGAAATGTTTTGCTACTTCTATAAAACAATCATTCTTTTCATCCTTTCCTTTCCACTATGTTGATCGTCTTTATTTTTTCTCATGACATTTATACGCAACATATATATCCATGTATACTCATGTGTACTTGGATTCATCATTTGAATGTAGATAACGTTTCTTGTTCATCTTTAATAGTTTTAATTAATGTTAATACAATTATTCTGTTACAATCGGTTGAATTTCTTAAAACGGATTAATTACATGCATAAAGGTCATTTCTATTCATGTATGAAGTGATTATGTCATTATAGTATATTTTTTCTATGAGAATCAAACAGACAGATATATCGGTAAACAGTTTTTTTTCTCTGGTCTCAATGTCCTCTGATATTGTCCGCGTCGTAAAATTATCCATTCATTATTATTACTATTACCATTATTATTATTATACATTATTCTTGCTCTAATTACTTGCAATGCTGTAAATGGTAGAGAGGTTGTTCATGATCTAATACCTAATTTATATATTGAAACAAATTATCTAAGTTTGTTCTATCTCCTTAAAGTCAACATTTATATCTTGCTAATCTAGGATGATAATTCGGTCTACCCATTATTATAACTATTATTATTATTATTATTATTATTATTATTATTATTACTATTGTTATTACTATTCAAAATGTCAAGAAGGCTAGCAATATCTCCAGCAGTTTCGTGTTTTGTCATTAATTTTCACTCTTTATTCAATCTCGTTGTCATCTGTATTTCATAGTTAACACTTAAGTTGATATTTTACGACATTGTATGTTCCTTTTTCATGTTTGTATGCAGTTTCCCTTAACTTTCTGTTGTTTCCGCATGTTTGGATCTTTTCTCTCCTTCTTCTTCCCTCTCCTCCTCATTCTCTCTCTCTATCTCTCTGAATAACATGTCGATATGTATTTTGTTAATCTTTTTTTCATGTATTTCTAATACACCCGTGTACACATGTCTTATCCAAAACTATCCACACATATATATATATATATATATATACTCTGCTTTCATTAGGAAGTCAGATAATTAACATTTATCGTTTGATTATTCTTCTCTGTGTATATTTGTTTTAAAATAAATATGAAAAGTTTTAAATGTATAAAATTATTGACTGATCATGGAATCTTTTACGACCGAGAATTCTTATTATATGTTTACATGTTTATATAATCACATATTATTCATTTCATGTTTGATCAATTACACATTAACTATTGTGTGTTTATTACCTTCTATTTCCTAGTCTCACATTTACAATTCATTGTGTTTATTCGATCTTCTTCTTAGCATCATCATCATCACCATCATCAAATATGTGGTTATTTGAAAATATTCTACCCCCCCCCTCTTTGTACTTGTACGCCTAAGTATTACATTACATTGTTCTTGTTGGCTTTTAATCACTGACTTACATTTACAAAAATTAAAAAACAAAACAAGACAACATCTATAATTGCATTTTTATGAATAAATAAATACAAAAAGACAAAACATTTTTATTTTCCTTTTACTTAGTATGTTTATTATCTTTGATTGTTTTGTTAGTCTCTGTTTAATAGAAATTTTTGTTAACCTCAATGTATCCTACATATTGGAAAATACTCGTTTCCTATTTGTTTAATAAAAAAAAAACAACTTCAAAATGTCTATTTTCTGCTAATGTCCATCCATCCATCCATTCAGTTTTCGTTCTTTATTTCACTTTTTTTTTACTATTGATTGAATCAGTTCCATATGAATTTTGTTATTCTTAACCTAAATGCTCCTCTCGTTATTTTTACCTGTTGAGTATGAATTTCTATCATGTTTGTTGTTTTTTTTGTGTTTTTTTGTTGCCTTTATCAAATTGAAACCGTGTTATTTGACAATAATACGACGGAGAAAAAAAAAGGGGAAAATTTGACTGTTAAAGAATAAAATAAAGAAAGGTCAATAAAGTATAAATTAATAAACGAAATATTTAAAATAAAAACGCAAGTGTTTTTGATTTATATATATTTGATGTTTACAATTTTTGAGCTTTGTAGAATAAAAAGAATTATCAGTAATTATTGTAGAGTAGTTTACATTACTTTCAACTATTGATAGAAAAGGGTTTAAAGCTTGTTTTAGTTTATATACTAAAAAGTAGTATGATTATATTGAATTTGTTAAGTTGATTAGGTTAAGAGTTACATTATTTCAATATTTTTAATTTTTAATAAATTTAATATTTTCATAGTTGAAAATGTCAGTCAATTGAAGCTAGACCATCAGGGAAAACTTGGAAGCACTGGATGGCTGTTTAGTTCTATTGTGGGACTCCTTCCTGGTTGTCTAGCTTCAATTGACTCACGCTTTCAACTGTGAAAAATATATTATTCCTATTCAATGTCGAGCAGCTTTTGTCTGGGAAAATTACGATAGCCTATTATTAGAAAAAAAAGATCTCACCTCACAAACATATTAACAACTAAACTGGAAGGATGTATTTGCTAGCCTCTGAATGTTAATCTGGATAGCATGGGACTAAATCCTCAAGGGAACAACAGTTTTCACAAAATTACAGGTAAAACTTCTTGAAGAATGGCAAATAACCTGAAATATATGTTCAGAGTCTCCTGGTGTCTTCCCCTAACTACCATTTTACTTTTCACTTTTAAGTAATATTAACCAATCATTAACTGTTACAATACTTAAAGAGGAGTTTGAAATATGAACAAAACATTGGAGAAATCAAGAATTATTGAAAGAAAATTTCGCATCATATTTTATTGACTTATATGATAGATGTTCTTGATAAGGTTCAGAAGATCAAATGATTTGGGGAAGCTGTAATAACCACAGCGAAAATCTTCATGAACAATTTCAAAAGGAAACAGTGAACTCATTAACTTTGATGTGTAGTTGTTTGATATGAAATAAAGAGTTGCATCAGAGTTGATAAAATATTATGACAATATTCACTTACATGTTTAAGATTACTTTTTATAGTCAATTAATAAATATGATTATTAACTAATTAAATCAAAGTATATCAGTGAAGATGTAAACACAAACAATACTAGTTTCTAGCATCATAATAAGATTATCAAGAATGAATCCCTCAAGTTTAAATCATTTATCAAGAAATTCACTCATGCAAGGTTTCTAACTTAATTTTCTATTAAAATTATGATGTACATTTGTTCATAGAATAGAATAATGGTGATTATTTTTTTCTTGGATAAGTAACGTTTGGAGGAGTAGTTGCATTTAATTCTGTAATCAGGTTAAATCTATATTAATCTAGTGTGTGTGTGTGTGTTCATGTGTAAACAAATAATACGTTAAAATAAAATATAAGCAAAAATCGGTCTGTGCGTTCGAATTAGATGATTTTAACAAAACTACTTTTATGAAGATTAGTTTAATTTGATGTTCATTTTTTGTCACAAACGTATATAAGCTGGGAAGAGGAAAACAGAGAAATTCAGACACATACAAGAAAACTGTTTCATTCGAACTTGAATCACCTTAGCAGTGTACATTCAGTCCCTGAGTCAGAATTCTTCAGCTGTTGTTAGTCATTTTAACTTTTTAACTATTTCAAGCAAAGATGGATAGTGACCAACAGTGGAATCCAGTTTGACGCGCGTTTCGTCCTATTTGGGACTTGTCAGTTGGATGTACCTGCATCTCAGAGTTGATGCTCACTCTGGGATTCGAACCCATTACCCTTCGCTTCAAACGCCGTCACGTTATCCACTCAGCTACTGAGTCCTGATAGTCACTTGCTTGTAAAATGGGAAGATTCAAACAAGTAATAACAAGTGAATTTGAACTTCACCCCATTTCACAAGCAAGTGACTATCAGGACTCAGTAGCTGAGTGGATAACGCGCTGTTGTTTGAAGCAAAAGGTACTGAGTTCGAGTCCTAGAGTGAACATCAACTCTGAGATGCAGGTACATCCAACTGACAAGTCCCAAATAGGACGAAACGCACGTCAAACTGGATTCCACTACTAGCCACTATCCATCTTTGCTTACAATGCTTGTGAAATAAGGCTATATCGATGCAATACGCACAGTATGCACTTATGCCAATTAGAGACTGACCAGTTGCAGTCCTTATCATCAATGGGAAGATTAAAACAAGTAATACTAAGTGTGTTTAACTATTTATTAACACCTTTCTCCGCATTTTAGCTACTCATTATATGTACATTCCTCATTAATTAGTCTTGAAACAATATTCACTTTAATATAATTTTACTTTTTTTATGATAATTGATGTGATTTATCTGTCTATACTCAGCTAACATTGAGTTCATTAAAACAGTTAAGATTTATTTAAACGATTACTAGTTTGTATATTGTACTCACCTTTCCCCAATCTACCAATCAGAACACTTAAAAGGTCAGCCAAATACTTAATATCCTACTGTATTATTCAAACTTGAAAATCATAAATCTGACTACGTACATAACTGTTAAATCTCACATACAAATTTGGTTGGCAAGCTTATGATAAATTACCTTAAATTTAGGGATAGTAAAAAAATATGGCAACAACAATTAATAAGTCAATTAAAAATTAAAATTGGGAGAACATAAAAATACCGTAACAGAACTTTTTAAAATCAATATTCAGTAACATATAGACAATAGTTTCCTACGGTACGGCTTTCAAATTTTCACATTTTTAAACATTCACCGAATCCTGGCAGTTTTTATCATAAACTGGTATCAGCTGGTGAGACAATGAAAGCCTTGAAATAGTGGACTGTTGTTTTGCTTTGGCTCAAGCTCACCAGAAGCAGAACTCACCTGCAATCACATTTTAGAATCTGATTTGACGACTATGATGTACTATTGAATTCCATGCCTTCAGTTACAATCTGATCGTAAATGTTTTCCAATTTCAGCTAATTCTGAATAAAGGGCGATCCTAATTTAATTTCATTATTCTTAACTTGGTCACAGGTGAACAGTGATGACGAATTTCAGGACTGCTGTTTTCTTACATTCATTTGGTTTTACTGTTGATATGAAGTCATAATGAAAGTTTTTTATTGAGATCAGGAACCAGTCAATATAAAACTACCATTGAAAACCTGAAAGCACTTGACGGCCGTTTCACCCCTGTATGAGGCTCTTCAGCAGTAAGCATCGACCAGTTAATGATCTCAATAAAAACCCAACAATCTCCATAACCCTCAGCTGGTGGCGAATATTATCCATCAATGAAGTGCATTCATGTTAGAAAGTGATACGGTAAGCAAGGAATTAATTGACTGGAATGCGATTAACACATGGAATCTATTTTTCCAAAATTATCTGTAACGTGTAATCATATGTAAAAAAGGAGTAATTATATAACTTAATCAATTAGTTATATCTGTTGGTTATAGATGCTTCATTGTATGATATTATAAATGTATATTTACACCGTAAATTGATTAATTAACTAAACTTAAGTACAGTTTATTCAAATCTGACCGTTAGTTTGAATGTAAATAAATCATACCTTATTTTGGCTGTCATATATATATCCTCCTCTACTTTCTTGGTGTTCTTAATTGATCCATCCTGTTCACGATTTTCGTGTTCAAGTACAAAGATATATCTGGACACAGCATGCTGT